CCCCGAAGGGAAGGACCCAGTCCTGGCAGAATTTTCCACCTGCTGACTAAAGAGCCCTTGGGATTTGAATACATCAGAGGTAGCCAGGCAGTAGTCACCATGGGCTTTGGATGAGACTGGGCTGGCTTCAGGTGTGACCTGGCACTGGTGGTCACAAGGGAGTGCCCAAATCATTCCTCCTCCAACTCCAGCAGCCCAGCACAGAAAGTGAGGGAAGAGAGTGAGAGACTGCCTGGTAATCCGGGGACTTCTCCTGTATCTCACCCAAGTCCACCAAGGTGGTACCACCAGGAGTCTGCAAAAGTCATGGCATTACTGGGCTTGGGGCATCTCCAGTGCTGAAACTGCCACAGTGATCAAAGACTTGGATCACAACACTCAATTTCCTTTGAATACCTAGAAAGCCATCTTAAGAAGGACAGGTTCAAATAATACAGGACTTTTAAGATTAGAATAAATACACAACTCTTCAATGCCCAGACATCAACAAACATCTACAAGCATCAAGAACATCCAAGAACACATGAACTCACCAAGCAAACTAAATAAGGTACCAGTGACCAATCCTGGAATGATGGAGAGATGTCACCTTTCAGATGAAGAATTCAAAACAGCTATTCTGAAGAAGCTCAATAAACATCAAGACAATATAGAGAAGGAATTCAGAAACCTATCAGAGAAATTTAACAAAACGATTGAAATAGAAAAAAATCAAGCAGAAATTCTGGAGCTGAAAAATTCAATTGTCAAACTGAGAAATGCACCAGAGTCTCTCAACAGCAGAATTGACTGAGCAGAAAAAAGAATTAATGAACTTGAAGACAGGCTATTTGAACATACATAGTCAAAAGAGAAAAAATAAAAAAACAGTAAAAAGGGATAAAGCATACCTACAAAATGAAGAAAATAGCCTCAAAAAGGCAAATCTAAGAGTTATTGGGGCCGGAAGCGGGGGTTCATGCCTGTAATCCTAGCACTCTGGGAGGCCGAGGCGGGAGGATCACTCAAGGTCAGGAGTTCAAGGCCAGCCTGAACCAGAGTGAGACTCCATCTCTACTAAAAAAATAGAAAGAAATTAGCCGGACAACTAAAAATATATATAGAAAAAATTAGCTGGGCATTGTGGCTCATGCCTGTAGTCCCAGCTACTTGGGAGGCTGAGGCAGAAGGATTGCTTGAGGTTGCTGTGAGCTAGGCTGACGCCATGGCACTCACTCTAACCCGGGCAAAAAGAGTGAGACTCTGTCTCAAAAAAAAAAAAAAAAAAGAGTTATTGGCCTTAAAGAGGAGGTAGAGAGAGAGATTGGGGTAGAAAATTTATTTAAAGAAATAATAACAGAGAATTTTCCAAACCTAGAGAAAGATATCAATATTCAGGTACAAGAAGGTCATAGAACACCAAGCAGATTTAACCCAAATAAGACTACCTCAAAGCATTTAATAACCAAGCTCCCAAAGGTCATGGATAAAGAAATGGTCCTGGGGAAGCAAGAAAAAAGAAAAATAAAATAACACATAAAGTAACTGCAATACATCTGGCACCAGACTTCTCAGTGGAAACCTTACAGGCCAGGATCATATGATCATTTCAATTGATGCTGGAAAAGCATTCAATAAAATTCAACATCCCTTCACAATAAAAACTCTCAAAAAACTGAGTACAGAAGGAACTTATCTCAACACAATAAAAGCCATATATGACAGACCCACAGCAAGTATTATACTGAATGGGAAAAAACTGAAAGCCTTTCCTCTAAGATCTGGAACAAGACAAGGATGCCCACTTTCACCACTATTATTCAACATAGTACTAGAAGTTCTAGCTAGAGCAATCAGACAAGAGAAATGAAGGACATCCAAATCAGAAAGGAAAAAGTCAAGTTATCCTTGTTTGCAGATGATATGATCTTATATCTACAGAAACATAAAGACTTCATAAAAAACTATTAGAACAGACAAACAAATCCAGTAAAGTTGCAGGATACAAAATCAATATACAAAAATCAGTAGTATTTCTATATGCCAACTATAAAAATCTGAACAGAAACCAAGAAAGTAATCCCATTTACAATAACTACAAATAAACTAAAACATCTATGAATAAACTTAATGAAAGAAGAGAAAGATCTCTACAGTGAAAACTATGAAACATTGATGAAAGAAATTGAAGAGGACACATAAGATGGAAAGATATTCCATGCTCATGAATTGGAAGAATCAGTATTGTTAAAATGTCCATACTGCCCAAAGCAATCCCCACTGATGGGGATTCAATGCAATTCCCCTCAAAATACCAATGACATTCTTCACAGAAATAAAGTAAATAATCCTAAAATCTATAAGGAACCACAAAAGATCCAGAATAGCCAAAGCCATCTTGAGCAAAAAGAACAAAACTAGAGAAATCACATCACCTGACTTCAAATTATACCACAGAGCTGTAGTAACCAAAACAGCATGGTACTGGCATAAAAACATACACATAGACCAATGGAACAGAATAGAGAACCTAGAAATAAATCTACACATCTACAGTGAACTTATCTTCGACAAAGTTGCCAAGAACATATAGTGGGGAAAGGACAGTCTCTTCAATAAATGGTGCCGGGAAAACTGGATATCCATTTGCAGAAGAATGAAACTAGACCCCTATCTCTCACCATATACAAAAATTAAATCACGATGGATTAGACTTAAATCTAAGACCTGAAACTACTAAAAGAAAACATTGTGGAAGTGCTTCAGGACATTGGTCTGTAATACCCCCAAAGCACAGGCAACCAAAGCAAAATTGGACAAATGGAATCACATCAAGGTGAAAAGCTTCTGCATAGCAAAGGAAACAATCAACAAAGTGAAGACACAACCCACAGAATGGGAGAATATATTTGCAAACTACTCGTCTGACAAGGGGTTAATAACTAGAATACATAAAGAGCTCCTCTGACAAAGGATTAATAACTAGAATATATAAGGAGCTCCAGCAACTCAATAAGAAAAAATCAAATAACCCAATTTAAAAATGAGCAAAAGATCTGAATAGACATTTCTTTTTCTTTTCTTTTCTTTCTTTCTTTTTTT